GGTCTGTCCACTCTAACAGAACAGTCAGACTGAGGTCTGTCCACTCTAACAGTCAGACTGAGGTCTGTCCACTCTAACAGTCAGACTGAGGTCTGTCCACTCTAACAGTCAGACTGAGGTCTGTCCACTCTAACAGAGTGCAGTTTATTTTATTCTTTACTATTCTGGAAACATTGTTCTTAGAAAGTTAAAACTGGTCAGTTTTCTCCAGATTGTTTTTATTCGTTGTTCTAACGTGTAACGATGTGTCTCCTCCTGCAGATCAGACTACAGTGATCAGTGGTGAAAATGTCCAAACTATCAAAAGTACAGCATGTGAGGAGGAATCCCTGGACCACGTAACTCTTCATTTTTAATTTGTCATGCGCATGCAAGTCTGTCAGTTCGTCATCTGTATTGTTTGCTTGTTGAGAAACAAATAATAATGCAATTTCTTTTGATAAAAAAATAATTTACAATAAAGACAAAGTCTAATAAATGAGATGAAACCGATCTACAACTCCTTCAGTTACTGCAGTTGCTCTTACGGCCACTAGATGGCACTTAACAACCATGTACTGTAGAGCTTTTCTGGGCACCTCGGTCAAATCCTATTTCTGCTGGCGCAAGCGTTTACATCGACGACGAGAAGGAATTTAACTTCGCACGGAGGAGAAACCACGCTGAGATACAGGACACGTCCTCCATCTGTCCGTGGACGTCACCGAACATCTGCTGGAACCAGAAGCAGAGAGAATGGGTATGTGATTCACGGACGTGTGCTTCAGTGGGAGCAGGTTAAAGATAGCAGTTGGTTTGAGTACAGTGTTAAGGCTGCTGCTCCTGCTGCAGGCGGCTTCGCTGTGGTGGAACAAGTGACTGCAGAGAGAGACTGAGGCAGAAGGTCTGCTGCTGAGATCCGCCAGCTGTCACAGATCTGGAGGAGCGTCGTTCTGCAGGACCAAGGAACGAAGGACAGGAGGCAAAGAAGCAGGTGAGGTCCACAACACTTAGCTGCAGGTGTGTTAGTGTGTGAGCGTGTGTGTGTGTGTGTACGAACGAACGCGTTGCTTCATTCGTGTTACTACCAGATTATGCTGTTTTCTAGTAAAGCTTTCAAGTGATGTGATCCATCTTGCACCTTCCCCGTAGCTGCAGACCTTCACATAGGCAGGTGTTCTGTTTCTGTGATTCTCAAACCCTGGGGTGCAACCCACAGCTGGGTCAAGGCCTTGGCATTTGCTGGTCTGTACCAATTTTTGGCGCAGTTATTCTTATATCATATTTTCTGTCTACTGCAAAACTGAGCAACAAAAAAAAATTTTTTTAAACAAATGATTGATACTACCATTTGATATGTATATATTAAAAAACATACTTTTTACCAGTGGGCACTCCCTCTGGTGGTAAGTGAAGTGAATTGGAGCATTATTTCACCGTTTGACTGCACTGTATCTGAAGAGACTATCTGGCTGTCAGACAGTCCTGCTGTTTCATTTTCTACCTTATTATTATGGCATCTTAATAGTCATTATTATTATTGCAAAATAATCAAATAGTTTTATTAGGATAATTGTAACTGTCAGTTAAATTTGTTGTCTCCTCAACAATGCATCACCACAGTCAGTTGTTTTATTATTTTTTAATCTGAATCTGTGTCCATGCTGTCAAACCTGGGATCATTTAACCAAGGGTTACACACTTTTTGTCACCTGATAATTATCTAAACTGATTCTAAGACAGGTGACACCACGCTGTGGTTTCCCATCTTAGTCACGATGAATCACATTAATCATCCGCCTGCTCTCATATTGGAAGCAGAAATAATTAGACACCGCTGCTCGTACGTCCCCATCGTTCAAACTTTGAATTTCTGTCTAATTTGATTCTATGCAAAACTGAGCTAGTGCTGATTTTGGTCATTTATGCTTAAGTGTCCGTTTGGTTTTATGTCTTTACTTTCACACTGTGTAGACATTTGATTTTGTTGGAGGATCTTTTTAGATGACCTCTGTCAGTCGGGGAGTCAGTCATGCACGGCCTTATTAAGGCAGGGAGAGGAAGATATGAAAAGTATGATTATTATGGGAACAGAATGTGGCTTTTTGTATCTTAATATATTTAATTCCCAAAGAATGTGGACAGAAATAGTCTTAAAACTGAAGCTATTTCAGTCTAAACGTCCTCAATATGTCTGCCTGGATATGATTCTGTGTTGTCAGTCAACTTCACAATTATTCCCCCTGATAATGTTGAAGCCAAAAATAATGAAGCAAATATTTGCACCAGACTGCAGGAGTTAGAGGGGGAGGGGAGGAGGTGGAGCTTGATAGTTTAGTTTCTGCATGATTTATTAAATATATATATATATATAATTCTTTCAACTATTTTTTTCTTTCCATAACATAATTAAACTTTGAAGCAACAGTGTTAATTGCTGTACAGCTCCACAGGTTAGTAGATGCTCTGTGCTGTAACGCACAGACAGGAAGTTGACACTGATATGGTTCAAGTCTTCTGATCCTGGATGACTGTCTCTGAGACATTAATTCAAATGACTAAAAAAGAAGATTCTGGAAAACACAGGTGAAGTGGAACAAATTAAAAATTTCAACAAAGTGATTACATTATCATCAACAGTGATGAAAAGTTGTTGAACGTCCTGTAATGTTTCCTTTTCCTTCATTAACCCTGGTGCAGTGTTTTTACTGCTTTGATGTAACGAGTGATTCATTACTGCTGACGTAAAATCTAATAGAGTGGAGCTGGCAGTGACAGAGGACGGAGGTAAAACTGGTCATGGGGTAATCACCGCTGGAGATGAATCGACCGAATCGACCGTCACAGCAACTTCTCAAAGTCCAGCTTTCATTATACACAATAATAGGGTGCATTTAAAAAAGATTTGAACATTGTCGTGTGTGTTCAAGTGTTTCTATACGGTTTGTCGAAGGGCTCAAAAAAACTCAGCTTCCAGTGTTTGATTTACTCAAAAGTCAACAAAACTCACAGATACAGATAATAAATGTTTAACCTATTGATATAATTAGATTATGTGTAGCTATACGTTAGCCTTGAGTAAACGCTTGAAATACATTCTTACCAATTTCTTCTTACCAAATTAATAACTAGTTTTACAGTAACTGAAAGGTGATTATGAGAAGAATCCATTTGTTTGGATTTAATTAACCTGATGATTCTTGGAGGAAACAATACAAAGTTGGTAATCAGCAGTGAGTGTTTTCTCTGATACTAAGTCATTTTCCAATGAAAAGATCCCTGTGTTTAAAGTACAGCTCAGAGGTTTTCCATTGATCCACTTTTTGTCTCCAACATATGATTATTTTACGCAGTTTTCCTTGTTGCCATGGTGAAGCAGCGTGGAGGAATAAAGCGGCGAAGAGCTGCTCACGGTTGTCTTGGATACAACAGTTTTCTCTTGTAAAGTAATGAGAGGAGCTGAACCTGTGGGAGCACAGGGTTATTTATAGGCCTGGTGCCAGGCTGTGTGTGTGTGTGTGTGCGCGTGTGCAAGCATGTTTGCAAGCTTTATTGCAACCTCACTGTGGGAACAGCTCTGAGCGTTTTACACTTGCTACACAAACACCTGGTCGACCACTTGTGACTTCAGCCCAGCCTTGAATCTGCTACAAGATGGAACTTTAGAAAGAGGAGTCAAATAAAGCACTTTAATCAGAGAGCTTAGAAGTAGTTTAATTTGAGGTTCCACTTCCTTGTTCCACTGGCTTTACTCTTTGGCTCTTTTGACCAACTTTCGAATGTTTTTATAGAATAACTTTAATTGAGTGGCTCTTTGGCCCAGAGGCCACGTCTCTGTCATTGGTGTGGAACCCCAGGGTTCACCTCCTGGGTAAGTTTGAATCCCAGTTAGGGCGGTTGGTACCTTCCAGTGGACTGACCACCTGCAGGAAGGTTCAGGGGGGTTGGTACGGTGCAGTGTGATTTGGGTGGCGGTCGTGGAGACTGCTGCCCCTGCGACCTGGTAACGGATAAGAGGATGAAAATGAATGGATGGATGGAGGAGTAAATGGATGGATAGATGGAAGTTTAATTGATGGTTGGACTACCATCTGAACTTGACTAATTGAATTGTTTTATGTTGTTGTCGGCGCTCAGTTTCATCAAGCACAATCACAATCACATATTCAGGGTGGGAGTAAAGGAAGGTATCAAAAATTTCACATTTTACTCTTAATATTTTATTTATTTTTGATAATTGCTTAAAATTGACCAAATAACCTGTGATGTCCATTGCTGTTTCTGGATGTAATGAGCAGCAGAGTCTAAGTACACAGGGTACTACGACTGTCTCTACTGAGACACAGTGACCTACAACTCGTACAACCGCAGGGCTTTTGCCTGTGCAGCAGAAACACAGTTAGTGAGAAAAGCACCTGTGTGACCCCAGGGACGAAGTGTTCCCTCATTGCTCACTGTTTCAGCTAAAGTCCACCAGAACACAACTTGGATTTCTGCAGCATTTCTTATAACCCATCCAAAGAAACACATCCCACAGATATTGTCCAAATTTATTCTGCGCGGTTGTAAAGGTAAATGTCAGGGTGAGAGAAAGAGAGAATAGAGAAAGTCTCACCCTTTCTGTGTGTGTGTGTGTGTGAGTCCTGCTGTACCCTCTGAAGTTGCTGTGTGGTCTGTTCCAGTACCTTTAACAATTGCATTTCTCTGCACACACACAGGATTCTGTGGATAAGCCTCGAGGGACCGGCATGTCGTATTAAAGACCTGAACCACATTGATCAGATTTTCTGCAGAAAAGCTCAGAATCCCCTGGATGTCACAGAGGCAGCAACAGCTCCTACAGCCAGTAACCATGTTGTTCTGTGAAGATTAGTGTTTTATTCAGTTTACACTCATTAGACTCTCATTTTTTACTGTTTTTTTTTTCTTTAGCTATTCTTGGATGTTTTTAATCTGTGTTGGCCGTCTTTGTCTGTCTCTTTCTGCTGGATATCCACTCACTCCATGGACCGTCTGGGTCTGTTATATCTTTAGGTTTTGCCATGAAGATGACCATGAAAGACCAGCCCAGAAATAGGTCATTGTTAGCTAAACTAAAACAAAAAATATGAACTGCTTCACTAACAATACCACTGATATGCTTTGGTAAATGTTAATTACTCCAAATTACAAGATCAATTTGATAAATATTACACTAATTACCAGCAGAAACAGGAAGTTCTACATTAATGTTCAACTATTAATAAAAATAAAACATGGACCACATTAAACCTACCCGCCGCAGAACAAATTGGTTTAAATGAATAATGCACAAAAGGGAACTGACACACTGTGCAGTGACACCGTTGATGACCAGGGTGTGTAACCCCCCCCCCTCCTCTGCTCTGTAACACCTGGTCACTCAGGCTGCGTGTGTTTCT